CCAACCAACCAGTCGTGGGAAAGGTGCCAAGGCAGGCAGGCTCGCTCGCTCGCCTCCCTGCAACGTGCAAGGACAGGTGTGCGCAAGGGAAGGCGGCTCCCCGCTGGATTCGGAGCCCCCTCCCCAAGCCCGCGAGGGGCACCCCCGCCAGACCTTGCTCCGCTGGTTCAATGCACGCCAGCGAGGCGGAGCCCAAGAGCGGGTTTAAGGAGGCGGAGGAGAAGGAAGAGGAGGTGGCCTCCGACGCCGCCTTCTCCGCCGCTTCCACTGCCGGGTCAGGCCGAAGCCCAGCGCCGCCTCCCCCCCCGCCTTTCCCCCCCCCCCCCCCCCGAGCCGGCCGGAGATGCTCTCCGGCTTCTGGTATCCCCTCCTGCCGGCTGGTCCTCCGCGCGCGTTGCCATGGAGACGCAGCATCCTTTCGCCCGGCGGGGCGTTCGTTCCAAACCTGGCGGGAAGTGTCTCTGCTTGAGCAGGGGGTTAGACTAGAAGACTTCCAAGGTCCCTTCCAACTCTGCTATTCTATTCTATTCCTATTTACCCCACAACAACAACAACCCTGCAAGGTGGGTTGGACTGAGAAAGAGGGATTGGCCCAAAGTCAGCCAACCGGCTTTCATGCCTAAGCCTGGGACTAGAAGTCACAGTCTCCTGGTGATGGGCCCAAAGTCACCGGGCCAGCTTTCATGCATAAGGCAGGATTAGAACTCAGAGTCTCCTGGTGATTAGTCCAGAGCTGCGTATAGCTGAAAGTCCAGATTAGGGACCGATGATCACAAAGAAAAATCAACCTAAATTTCAAGAAGAGTCAAAAACAACTTGGTGGCACATAAACATCAATTTGATCTACGGTTTTATACAGTTTCAGATATATTTATTTCATTCTGTTTTGGTGCCACCCAATTCCACAGCAACTCTGGGCAGCTCACCGTTTAAATGCAGTTCACCAATGCAAAATACACTTTATGTACCAATATTTCTCAGTGAAATCCCCTTCATATATCATTAGAAAAGGAAAAAGGAAAAAGAAGAAGAAACCACTGACTGCATATGTTCAAACTCTTATTTTTAATCTCCTCTGACATTCTGTTGAATACACGGAGTTCTGCTTTTGTTACACTTGTACTGATGCTAGAGAAATCACAAAAACATAGCACACGGATTAAGAATGTTTTTCAAAATCCAAAAATTGTTATTTCAAAAAGCTGTTTTCAGTACTATACACCCTCTCACACAGAGGAAGTTGAACAAATTTGGGACTTAAATCTTTTTATACCAATCATATATTTATGAGTCATCTAAGGGAGAGCGTCAAATAACTAAGAAAATTATCCCTTTCTTTGTAAGCTGGTCATGAAGAAAAGTTGTAGAAAAATAAAATAGATTAAGTTCTGTTATTTTTAGCTGCACGCCAGGAGTTTATAAACTGTAGTCAAGCACAAAAATACATTTGCACATTGTTTTCGTAGTCCACAAGAGGGCAGCAAGAGCGTACATATGGGAAGTTTTAAGCACAATTAAGTTAGGTACTGGAATTTCCCTTACTTAACCCACATGGACCCATGCTTGTGTAATTGTACCATTGCTTTGGAATGTAGAAGATAATTCGTTTAAACCCAGAAGATTTCCTTGCAACCTTCTATTGGAAAGTTATTTAAAACAACAGATCAGGACAATAAACCTCTCCTTGATCCCAAATACTGAACCTTAAATTTCCCCAAATGAACAAGCTTCGCAAAAATGAACATCCCTGTTACAAAAGAATAGCAGAAGACCTTATGCCACCAGACTTGAGATTCGAGACCTAGAAAACCTAGAACTGTGCTGCCTTCGGTCTGATCTAAGTATACTATATAAAATTATATATTGTAATGTCCTACCTGTCAATGAATACTTCAGCTTCAACCATAACCATACAAGAGCACACAATAGATACAAACTCAAGGTAAACCGCACCAAACTTGATTGCAGGAAATACTTTCAGCAACAGAGTGGACCATGTCTGGAATACTCTACCTGACTCTGTGGTTTCTTCCCCAAACCCCAAAAACTTTAACCTTAGGCTGTCTACTATTGACCTCACCCCTTTCCTAAGAGGTCTGTAGGGAGTGTGCATAAGCGCACCAACATGCCTACCGTCCCTGTCCTATTGTTTCTTTTATTTTTTTTATATGTACCCATTTCATGTATTCATAACTATGTATATACTTATACCTATTATCTTGTAAGCGATTGACAAATCAAATAAATAAAGAATAGCAGGTCTTCTACTCCAACCCTTGCTCAAACAGGAATCCCAATACTATTTCAGACAAGTGGTTGTTCAATCTCTTCTTTCAAATTTCCAGTGTTGGAGCACCCACAACTTCTAGAGGCCAGTCCAGAAGTTATTATTATTGGCTATGTTTATGCGGATGTTTCACGACCCAAACCAGAGGTGGCATTCAGCAGGTTCTAACCAGTTCTGGAGAACCAGTAGCGGAAATTCTGAGTAGTTCAGAGAACCGGCCAATCCCGCATCTGACTGGAGATTTTAGAGTATCCTTCCCCTGCCACGCCCACAGAACCGGTAGTAAAAAAATAATTGAATCCTACCACTGACCCAAACATCATCAGTGCTAGTAAGGAGCGAGGTTTGGTGCAGGTTTCTAACACTGATGATGTTACCTAGTTGGGTAATGAAACCTCTGCAAGAAAACAATCAGAGAGCACCAAGGACCCCTCAAGATAGCCAATGGCCTGTAATATCCTTCCATCCATTGACTAGGTTGTTGTCCGCTATGAACAGGAATCCCAGTTCTCCTTCAGTTTGGCGATTTAAATGCAAACCGTTTGCTCCTGAATCTACTTTCTCCCAAGGAAACCAGGCAGCTTTTGCAGAAATTTAATTCCAGCTACTTAAATCCCAAAAGACAAGGCCTGAGGGACGGTGGAGGGAGTGTGTGTGTGTGTGTGTGTGGAAACTGGCAATCTCTGTTCCAATCGGTGGCATGTGGAGAATGCACCAAGCTTTGCCGGCTGCACTCATGCAAAGGACATTCTCCACATGCCAATTAGGTCCAAAAAAAAGTGAGGAGGGGAATGTTGGCGGTAACTGGTTTATGGCCTCAAATGGTTTACGGTTGTAAGGCGTCGTTCACCAGTCCAGATGGGACAGAGTTCAGAAAAAGGGTTGGAATTCTTTTGGCAGATGGATACCTTTCTCTCAGGCGTTGGGAGCCCCAGATGCTGCCTCTATCTTTCTCAACATATTTTTACCCAAATAAATTATATGGAAAACCTGCTTGATTTTTTTTATTTTCCTACTACAGACCACAGAAAATCCTCAGCTTACACCCATTTCTTTAGTAACTATTCAAAGTTGCAAGGCATTGGGGGAAAAGCGGGGGGCTTATGTTTGGTCCACACACTTATGACCATCACATCGTCAGCATCCTCACGTCATGGGGTGAAAATTTAGATGCTTGGCAACTGGCATGCATTTATAAAAAAAAACCCAAGCACTCAAAATAAAGTTGGAAAACTGGGTGCAACTTGCTCCATCATTTATTCCCTTAGCAGCTGCAATGATTCACTTAACAAGCCTTGCAAAAAAACAAAAAAAAATGTCACAAAATTGGGTGCAACCCACCTAGCCAACTTAGCAGTGGAAATTCTGGCTCCTGTTGTTGTCGTGACTTGAGGTCTACCTGTCCGATAGGTCGCCTTCAAGTGAGTTAGCAGGCCTTTAAGCTCCCTTCCAAGATTTCAAGTCTAGAAAAGCTTAAAGGAATTTAAAACACCCTGAAAATAAAAGTGGGAAAAAATGAAGAACATCTTGACAAGCAAGATTCCAAAGATAGATTTTTATTTTTTTTGCACCATGTTAGTTTGGATGTCTACGGAGATTCTCAGTCATCCAGGCCAGTGGTGGGAATTCAAATTTTTTTACTACCGGTTCTGTGGGCGTGGCTTGATGGGCAAGGTGTGGCTTGGTGGGCGTGGCTTGGTGGGCATAGCAGGGGAAGGCTACCGCAAAATCCCCCTTCCCGCCCCACCCCACAAGCCTGCTTTCCAGCTCTGTTCTCCTGTGCAGGGCAACCAAAGGAGACCCACCCAATCAGCTGGGACTCTGGAGGCGGAGTATAGGTGGGGGCAGAGCCAGTCAGAGGTGGGGTTTGCCGGTTCTCCGAATGACTCCAAATTTCCGCTACCGGTTCTCCCGAACTGGTCAGAAGCAGCTGAATACCACCTCTGATCCAGGCCATGGCTGTCCCAAAGGTGCTTTTCCAAAAGGCAACTGGACTTTCTGGGTTTGTTTGGGTTTTTTTGCTTGAAGTTGTTTCACTTCTCATCCAAGGACTACCTGTAACCCGCCCCCCCCCAAAAAAATCATCCGAATGGACTTTGATCAAACATAAAAGGAGAAATCCCCATTCTTCAACCTGAAACCTTCGTCCCTTCTCCACCCCGTTAGTCTTTATAAATTGCCCTCCCCTCTTGAGCTCATAAAGTTATCTTGCTACCCCCCTGAAAGGAACCTGCAGTTCCCTCAAGACCCTTGAACACCGGAGGTCTTGCTTGCAATTAAACACCCACCCACCACCTCACCCCACAGGGCTCAAGAAAAAGAAAAAAGAAGCAGCCAGAAAATTTTCCCTGATTAACACCAGTGTGGCCTGCTGGCCATTTCAGGCTAACCTTTGCACCAACAATGAAAAGTGCAAGGAAGAGAAGACAGGGTTGTGGGTCTCTCTCTCTCTGTCTCTCTATTTCTCTCTGTCTCTCTCTTTCTCTCTCTCTTCTTCTATCTCTATCTTTCTCTGACTCTCTCTGTCTCTCTCTTTCTCTCTCTCTCTCTTTCTCTGTCTCTCTCTCTGTCTCTCTCTTTCTCTGTTTTTCTCTGTCTCTGTCTCTCCCTCTTTCTCTCTTCTATGTCTATTTTTCTCTGTCTCTCAATCTCTTTTTCTCTCTGTCTTTATCTCTTTCTCTGTCTGTCTGTCTCTCTCTGTGTGTGTGTGTGTGTGTCTCTCATTCTCTCTCTCTCTTTCTCTGTCTCTGTGTCTCTCTCTTTCTCTGTCTCTCTCTTTCTCTCTCTCTGTCTCTCCCTCTCTGTCTCTCTCTTTCTCTCTGTCTCTCTCTTTCTCTTTCTCTCCCTCTCCCTCTTTCTCTCTCTCTCTTCTTCTATCTCTGTCTTTCTCTGTCTCTCTCTCTTTCTCTCTCTCTC